GAGCATAGCTACTTAAGTATAATGTTCAAACTGTGTTACTTATAATGATTAGAACGCATTATTTCATCAATCAGGCATGCTGGTTAATCCTTGTAATAGTTTTTAAAACTGTAATGTTGAATGAATTATGGAATATCCCTGATCATTACTGTCAAAAATTATTTCTGTTTTTCTACAAGTAGACCTGGCCAAGACGGTTTCTGGCGTGTGGCATTATGTCAGTAAAATGGTGCCAGATAACCAATCGTCGAATAGTTGGGGGCTTAACGGTTTCAGGCGTGTGACATTATGTCAATGAAATGGTGCCAGACAACCAATCGGCGAATACGTTGGAGGCTTAACGGTTTCAAGCGTGTGACATTATGTCAATGAAATGGTGCCAGACAACCAGTCGGCGAATATGTTGGAGGCTTAACGGTTTCAGGCGTGTGACATTATGTCATTGAAATGGTGCCAGACAACCAATCGTCGAATAGTTGGGGGCTTAACGGTTTCAGGCGTGTGACATTATGTCAATGAAATCGTGCCAGACAACCAATCGGCGAATACGTTGGGGGCTTAACGGTTTCAGGCGTGTGACATTATGTCAATGAAATGGTGCCAGACAAGAACTCGGTGAATACGTTGGAGGCTTAACGGTTTCAGGCGTGTGACATTATGTCAATAAAATGGTGCCAGACAACCAATCGGCGAATATGTTGGAGGCTTAACGGTTTCAGGCGTGTGACATTATGTCAATGAAATGGTGCCAAACAAGAACTCGGTGAATACGTTGGAGGCTTAACTGGTTTTTGTTTCGAATCTGAACAAATATAAGGGACTATACGAAAGTAATCTTGTTACTTATATTTATATGCTGATTTCTGATAAGCGCACCAAGGCCATGTTACCAGTTCTCGCAAGCGGAATGTTTGATTCCACGTGTAATATATATATATTTACTGCTAAAATTATCTGGTCGCGATGAAGGTAATAACATCGATAATCTGACGCTAGGCCATGAATAATAGAAGTCGTTAGCTGCAGTAGTTAATGTTTGTTTGTTTGTTTTAAGTTAAGCACAAAGCTACACAATGGGCTATCTGTGCTCTGCCCACCACGGGTATCGAAACCCGGATTCTAGCGTTGTGAGTCCGCAGACATACGGCTGTGCTACTGGGGGGCGTAGCTAATGAAATATAAGTCTAGAATCTCTTATCTACGTGTTAGGGTGCTTGACTCGAAATCTGAGGGTCGCGGGTTCGAATCTTTGTCTCACCAAACATGCTCGCCCTTTCAGTCGTGGGGGCGTTACAATGTGAGATGAATCCCAATATTCGGTGGTAAAAAGAGTAGCCCAAGAAGAGTTGGCGGTGGGTGGTAATGACTAGCTGCCTTCCCTCTAGTCTTTCACTGCTAAATTAGGGGACGGCTAGCGCAGATAGCCCTCGTGTAGCTTTGCGCGAAATTCAGAACAAACCAAACCAGCTGGTGGAATGTTAAACTATTTCTTTCGCTCTCGCTATCTCCATTAAAAGAAAATTATTTACGCAAATATATTATGACTGATATTCCTGAAGGCGTTCCGATTTTTTTTATATCTCTCCCCGATATATTTTTTTTTTCATTTATAATGTTGAACAGGCATAATTGTTTTAATTATTATTATTTTTTCCCTCTGTTAGGTGGCTATGAATATGCACAAAGACAATTAAAGTCACGAGTACAAGAACTAGCAAGTTAGGCCTAAGTTTCCCATGTTGAGGACCGAACAAACAATTACCTTTTTAAAATATAAAAACAGCAAAAATGGGATAGAAAAAAATAATGCATCATTTAAAAACAACGTTTCGCCACTGTTAACGTGGCATCATCAGGTGTTCATCACAATTGCACACGACACTTAAGTACACCCAGTTGGTGACGTCAACCATACAACCTTGAGCTAGCATAAAACCTACTCAGAAGACAACGTGAGACCGAAGAGGATGCACGAAACTAGTTTCTTTGATATCAGACTTCTGACAGTTTGTTTCTTTTACTGTGGTTTTTTTTTTCACTAATTGCTGTACACGATATTGTGTTCTTTTATTATTATAAACCTACACCTTCTGTTTTATTTACTAAGGTTTGTAATGGTGCATTTTTTTCTATCCATTTTAGCTGTTCTTTGAATTTTATTTTTTCTAGAGTGTGGTAAACCTCCAACATTTATAAACCATTCTCTCTCTGTTCTTTTTCTTTCTTTAGTATTACCAGTTATTTTGACAAATCTGTTTCGCCAACTGGAAGAGTTTTATTTATCCGATTTTAACTTCCGCCATTTCATGTTTTTTCAGCATTTTTGAGAAAGTAGAACTATAAAGGTTCTTAAGTTGTTGTTGTTTGTAGTTATGCACAAAGACTATTATTATAATTTTTCTCATTGTTGCACAGTACAAAAGACTATTATTATCATTTTTCTCATTGTTGTTTTTGTTTGTTTGAAGTTAAGCACAAAGTTACACAATGGGCTAGCTGTGCTCTGCCCACCACGGGTATCGAAACACGGATTTTAGCGTTGTAAGTCCGCAGACATACCGCTGTGCTACTGGCGGGGCTATAGGAAATAGTACAGCTTATAAAATGAGTCAGACAGAACATTTTTGATAGAAATCTCGGTGCTTAAACGTGATAACTCGATTGGAAATTGTTGTTTCTATATGTTGTTATTTACCATCTTCTGAATGATAAGTCGTTTTCATCTAAAAATTATGCGTTGAAAATAAAAGTAACTTTTCAATGTGCCTGTGTTTTTTTGTGTTTTTTACATTGTAAAACACAAAGATGTGTATATATATATATATATATATATATAAAACAAGTTATATTTCCTTTTTATTTCGTAGTCACACAAAAATAGAATTAAATGCATAGTAGTTGATCTGTACATATACTGGGAACATTTTACATTGAAACATGTTTGGTCAAGTTAAGAGAAACATCTCGTGTTAGAGATATGGGAATAGAAACATCTCTAAGGTTTACATTACATATAAACAAAAAGTATAAAACACTCACGTTAACTTACACCTTTGCTGGCAACACAAAAGAACTACAAATGCAAACCCTGAAAATTGAGATAATATGTTGTTGTTGTTTTTTAGCTCAAAGTATTGATTATATTACTGAAACCTGTCACATTTATATCTAATTATACAACATATTTACACACGCACATATAGGAATAGTTTATAAATAAGAATAGATTAATTAAACAATTAAAAAATAATATTATTTTTCACCCGGTGGTACAAAATATTTTAAAGTTCGAAGGTTCTCCATTAGTTTGATAAATGGATATTTTAAAGTTCGAAGGTTCTCCATTCATCATTAGTTTGATAAATGGATATTTTAAAGTTCGAAGGTTCTCCA